TACGGCGTTGGCGGAGCAGGTGCAGCAGCTGCTGGCGGAGCGGCAGGAGTGGGAAGTACGTGGCAGAAGATCGGAGGGAAGGGGGCAGCGATGGTTGAGGGACGGTGGTGGTTGGGTGGATAATGGTGTTAGGGGATGGGATCGGCGTGGTCATCGGGCAGTAGGTCGTGGTGGAGGTGGTCACGGTGGTGGTTTTCGTCGAGGTGGAGGGTTGTTGTGAACAAACATTCAGAGGGGGATGGTGGGAGCTTTTTGTTTAGCTTCCTTTTTTCTGTTTTTTTGTTGTTTTTTTTTCTGTTTTTTTTTTGTTATTCTTTCAATAAATGTTAAACAAACATGAATTTTTGATTGTTTGCATGATAGAAAGATTATGTATCAGATTTAATAGTATACAATTAATCACATCGATGTTATTTTGAAACATTTAAAAATCAGATAAGTTATTGACAAAAATAGGAATGACAAGAATCTTTACTTCCAACTTTCCCTATATTTTACTTTAGTTAAGTCTTGTTTCATCATTTATTTATGATTAATTAAGGAAATATTCTGTTTTGTCAACAAATTTTTTTGCTAATATCTTCGACATGTTGTATTTATGTTTTATTAATCATGTCTACTCTATTTCTTCTCTAATACTTTTGATTTTTGGTTATTGTCTCAATAATTGAGTGAATAGGAAATCTTCATATGAATATGATTTATTAATATATAAAAAGATCCATTATAGAATATATTGTTCAAAGTATACAGTCGAGGATCAAGCGAGTCACAGGGATGAGCATTACTTGTTTTTTATCTATTTCAAAATACATACGAAATAAGTGGTAGTAGATATAAATCAAGTTTACGTATCAATGTACGATTTTGTTGGCTATTATGATCGTCAGTAACATCGCTTATCATGGGAGACAACGTTTCCATATTACACTGTTTTTTTTCTAAACTTATCAATAAAAGAAAAGCAAAAAAAAACTCAAATGTATCTACATATATATGCGGTATGGCGCACATCATGATTAATACTCGAGCTGTGCATCCTATTTGTACTTGATAACAGATATTAAAACAGGTTTTGATAGACATTATATTTTAATCGTTTATCAAAAAAGTGAAAGAAAAGAAGCATATGAAAATAATTCGCAGATTTTCTTCGATATGTTTGTAAAAGTTACACTTCAAACGAGTAGCTTATCATAGTAATGATGTCACCTGGTCAATATTTCTCTTTGGCTTCATCTAGTTATCAGTTTAATAGTAATCAAAAAAATTAAAAACATATGGCAAACTTTTGAAAACAAGTTGTTTGTTTCTATTTAGTAAATATTTAAGACAAAAACAAAAAGAAAATTAGAATACAATTTTAAGCATGAATAAAAATTTTCTTGAATTATAACGTATATCGATATTCAGGATGATGATCACCAGCTAATTTATCTCCTCCATATTTTTCAATTTGTTTCTTAATTTCTTCATCATTCATTTTTGAACGTTGATGATTAATATACATAAATATTAGACGAAGACTAATCACTAATGTTGTTTGTATAACACAACAAATTAATGTAATTGTATTACCAATTAAATATCGTGGTTTCTGTTCGGCTTGATATATCTGTCCTGATATGATTCCACCAATAGCAGCTATTGAAATAATGAATGCTGTTGCAACTGCACGTCGAGTTAATGAAGCACTAAACATATACGTAGATCATAGAAATTTAGTGAAAATAAATAAAATATCACTCACAAATTATTATTAATCCAAGTTACTCTTATACTAACATTTGAATATAAACCTGATATAACAAGAACAACACCGATATAAAGAATACAAACATATTGTTGATCGATGAATATTAATATTAAGAGACCACAGATTGTCAGTAAATTTGTAACAACAAGGTGAAAAGACCGTTCAACAAAACTATAGAAATTTTATTTCTTAGACAAGATATATAAAACATCAACATAAAATACTTACTAATCTGAACTACGTGAAACAATTAAAATAGTAATGAATGCTACAAGATAAGGTGGAACAGTCATTAATTGTGTTTGAATTGGTGTCCATTGATCCATGTCAGATATTAGTGTAGGTAAAACAAGAGTTATACCTTGCAAAGAAGTAGTACCACATATATATGTTAAAGCATAAATATATGTTTTCCAATCAGTAAAAACAGATAGAACTTGTGACCAAGAAAATGAACTATGATGAGATGCACCAGCATCTTGTCGAAGACGATCAGTTTCTAATTGACGTTGTTTATCATTCAAAAATCGTGCTTGTTCAGGTGTATCTGGTATATAAAACCAACAAAAAAATGCAAGAATAATTGTTGGAACACCTTCAATCTAAATATAAACAAAATTAATAATAATAAATAACTAAAAAAAAGAAAGTTTACAATAAAGATAAGTTGCCATGCCGTTAATATTGGTGATTTAATTTGTGTAATACCATAAGCAATTAAACCACCAAAAGCTCCAGCAAGTGCTGAAAATGACCAAAAGAATCCAAGTCGAATAGCTTGTTCTTTTCTTCTATACCATAATGATGTGTAGTAGATAAATCCAGGAAAAAAGCCACATTGAAAAGTTCCAAGTAAGAATCGCGCTAGCAGTAGAGTTTTGAAACCGTTTACTGCCGCCATACTTACTGCTGCTAAACCTGTGAAAGTATGATTATAATATGATGAAATTTTGTCATCAAAATGAGATCTTTTTACCAAAATGCAAAGCATTTGTTATCTCACGTACAACAACAGAATTTTTTTTTTGGAGCACTTCATTATTTCAGAAAAAAAAGGTAAACAAAGTGAATTATTTACCCCATAGAAGAACGATTAGAGAAATCCAATTTGATGGTTGATATCGACGAAGAATAATATTTGATGGTATTTGAAAAATTACAAAACCAAAGAAATAGATTGATAAACACCTAAGAACAATGACATTCATATGTAAAATCTAACTGAAAGATGAGAAGATATTTTACCATTGATATTGTTCTGAAGTAAGTTGAATATCATTTGCAAGACCAAATAATTTTGCATTTGCAATATTTGTTCCATTGAGATATGATAGTAAATAAAGAATACTGGAAAAAAAGTTTTAAAAACATTATTTTGTTTTTTTTATCCTACATTTAAAAAAAACATACGAAAGAATTGGAAGCAGGTGTAAATCAAGTTTATGCATTAATTTTTGTTTTTCAATTTCATAATCATGATTGCTATTAGTAGCAATCTCGGATGAAGCTACTGTCATGGTCTACGATAGATTGTGTTGTTGTTTTTTCACTGTAATTTTCAATTCGATTCCATCAAATCTTTATGAAAAGAACGAATATAAAGAAAAAGCAAACATCGCCTACATGTGAATAATATTTGACAATCATTATCATGATCATTACTATCATGCAAGCTGTGACTATCTGTAATATAACGAAACATTTATAGTTATCAATAAAAACGAACTTCTGCTTGTTCGATTTTTATATGATAGAACTTGTCATAAATACTTCGATATTCAAAGTGCAATTAGTACAGAACTAAAGTACACAGAAAGACATTCAATAAAACCGACCAAAAAAAGCTATTTTATTTATTATTGTCAGTTAAATCTATTGTAACAGACAATTTCATCGAGTTATAGATAGCTTAAAATATAAAAGTAAAGTATTTTGACTTTTTGAATTATATAGACAAAAGATGAAAGTATATCTTCTAAAACTAAGTTTCCCTAACTAAAGATAAAGACTTTCACATATATAATTAACAAATAATCATCGACAAATATCATCATTTAAATATTTGACTTTTTCACAATAACTGACTATTATTCAATTTGCATCAATATTTAAATGATGTATTTTAATCGTTCATAATATGTAACCAAAAAGAGACAATACATATATATTTTTTTAAATAATATTAACAAACGATAAAATATAATTATTCCAACAAGTATTTGATTTACATAATCGATTATCAATTTAATATTATGTACCATCAAATCATGTGAACCTGTACAAATATAATCAAGAAAATTTGTATTGCTATTTGAAGAAGTCAAAAGAGTTACAGAAGTTCTTGGAGCTCGAGGAATTGAAAGATATGCAAGCTTTGGAGAGATCCAAGAAATTCCTCGCATTCACGCAACTGTAGGATTGCAAGAAACTCAAGCAGCAAAAAAAACTTAATAAAACTGTAGAATTCTGGAAATCTTCAAGGAATCGAACACATTCTAATTATTTAACACACGTCTTTGTATTAATATTTAATAGATATGAAAGGATAGCGAATAAATAGTTATGTCGTGCTTAAAATGACTTCATCTATAGAAGATTTCTTGCATAGAACTAAGCAAAAAAAAAAAAAGCAGACACTAAACATAATCGTCGACAGATTTTAGAACAATTTGCAACAGGTTTGTGTTATAGAAACATTTTATCTCATCGTTATTGTATTCGATATGTTGCGTTGAATTCTATTAATTTTAGACTCAAAAAATTTCAAAGAAAGCATTTTTTAACAAAAATACCAAATTTCTACTTGAGAAGATCATGTTCTCTATCGATCAGATATTTGTTCATTAGTAGATGTTTAACAATGACGGCGAAAATACACACAAACACATGCAGAGAGCTGATAAAGTGAATGAGCACGCAAAGACGAGCTGGATCGTTAGTGATGGTATGTTCATGAAGAGAGGGTCGATCTCTTTGATGAGGGTATGGATGAGAAAGTCTCCTCATCTATATCACATATTCTCATAGCCGAGTCGGAGTCTGATGCAGACCTCTAGTTTACAAATATAGATATATATTATGTGCACCTGTGTATTTCAAAGCAATATCTGACATCTGTCGATTGCTGATCAATTACTGGTTTTTATTATAATGATTGACGCGAACAAACAGACGTCTTTGTTCTGAAATAAATATAAATGATTCTTTTTTATCATTAACTTAAGTAAGATTCTACCACTTGTAAATGTTCTCCTTTATCAATCGAACAGTGTTCGATATACCATTAACCTGGAATCGAACTCGTTTTGAAGCTACACGTGTTAAATATCGACAAGCTCGAAAATTAATTGAGATCAGTATTAATGGTAACAAAAAAAGAGATACAATTTTTTTTTATTCTTCCTTACAACATATTTTCTTTTAGTACAATATGAAAAACAATTAAAAGATATTCATCTTCAAAATCTTGACATTGAAAAAACTATAACTGAAACAAATGAACATTTACTTAAACATGAAAAAAAAGTTCATATATTTGATAATTTAACTGAAATAGCTTCACAATCATTACCAAATTATTTTGATAAAGTAAAAAAACAGAAAAATTTTTTTCCATAAAAAATTTTCAACTATTGAAATTTATTTTCAGCGTATGGAAAATGTTCGTACCATGATACAAGAACATTGTAGTGCTATTCAAAAAATTCTTCATGAAGAAAATGAATATTGGAAAGAAATTCATTCTGCTATTGATCAGTACGTTTTTAATATATGATTTGATTCATAATTATACGAAAATCTTCTTATCTAAATTAAAATTTTTTATAGAAATTTGATTACTTCCAATGATATTCATCCATGTATAGAAAATATTCAAACAACAAATGAAGAACAAAATATTTTAGAATTACTTGTAAATAATTCTTTTAGTTATTTTAAATCATCATATTATCATTCTAGAATGATCAACCACAAATACTTGTCCATATTGATCATCCTTCATCAACTGAAAATCTAATATCAACTAAACAAGAACGTATGAGTATTGTTCTAAACCCGATCGAATCCATTCGAATTCTTCCTTCTATTAATGCAACATATGTTATTAAACCTGAAGAAACAACAAACACAGAAACAAATGATTCATTACCAATGGAAATTTCTTCACATATACCTTCAACAGAAATTGATGTATCACAAATATATTCTCAACCTAACCCTCCAGCACAACTTTATTTTTCTCCAACAATTCTTCAAGATGAAGCATCTGAATCAATTAAAAATGTACTATCACCACTTGATCAAAATCAAACTAGTATTTAAAAAAAAGCATAAAAGATTCTTTAATTTTATTAACAAATTCTTTGTTTTTTTTTTAGTTAATTTAGTCAAACCAAAAGTAATAATTCCTCGAGTTCATGAAAGTTTTTTAATTGATCATCTTAAAAAAAAAGAAACTAATAATATTGAAAATAATGAATCGAATATTCATCAACAGTAAAATTTTACTTTTTCCTCTCTCTCTCTCTCAATTAAATATAAATATTTCTTTCCAGAAATTCTTTTATTTTTCCAGAACCGATGTCTAAACTTGGAACACATTCTACAAAAAAAAATGAATTAGAATCAATTGATATAACAAAAAATATAAAACAAACACGAAAACGAAAACAATCAATATCAGAAGATAATGATACAAAATCGAATACGATTGTTTTACGTAAAAGAAAACCGATTTCATTTGTTGAAATTGAAGAAGAAAAACCAAAAAGAAAAACAACAAAAAAACGAAAAACTAAAAAAACCAATGGTATATTTAATTTTCCTACAGTAAATTATATTTAATCCTAATTCTTATTTAGAAAATGAAATACCAATTCGAGAACCATCACCTTTACCTATCATAGATCGAACAATACATTATAGTACTCGTTTTTCTACACGTATGTTATAAATACAAATAAATAAATTACATCATTTTTCTATCATATAACATAGGTTCTCATCGATTAAACAATTTAACATTGCCAATGATTAATATAGAAAGTGACGATGATAATAATAATAATAATAATAATAATAAATCGAAATCTCGTTCTCAACATGGAAAAAAAATCATCAAACAAAAATCGAACCAATCAAAAAAATCTTCTAAATCAACAAAAAAATAAAAAAAAAAGTGTTAACTGTATTGTTTATTGAGTAAAATTGTTAAACAATGAAAATATCTAGTTTTTGTATATTGTATTTGAATAAATATGACTATTGAGTAGATGTTATTTAATCCCATTTGAATAACATGTCTATTAAATCAAATCAACAATACGTTTTCTGTACTCTTTTCGTACATTGTCAATGCCATGGGTAACACAAACAATAAAGTAAAAGGAACGAATAAAAAGACTCCCGTTCAACAATATGGTAAAAACCAACCTGTACTCGCTTCAGTCAATGGATACAATTATTATCTAAATCAATATGCACCTGAACAATATTTTTATCCTGCATATCCTCCAGATCGTCCCGTAGTTTCTAGTGAACAATATCTGCAAAATGAATTTTTTCCGACAATACCAACAAACAATGTAAGTAGTATGCCATACATTTTTTTTTTCATACCTAAAATTTAACTATTGTATTACAGGACGTCGTCGAACAATATCCTTCGGCTCATCATAGTCATGTTCACCATTCTCACAGTGCAAATAAAGATCCTCATCATCATCATCATCATCGTCATCATCAACATAATCATACATCCGATGGTCACAATCATCATCGTTCTCATCATCATCATCACCATCATCATCATTCATCTTCATCAATTACTGAAAACGAAATTTCAAATCCTTCTATAGTTAAAGCGGATGCAACTTCTTCTCGCCCACTTGTGGAAGATCCACCTTCTCTTCAAACAAAAAATCCTATCACCCCTGTTACCTATAGAGAACTAGCAATTCCTTCACCTGCCGTGGAGTCAACTTCTGTTGTAGCACCAAAATCTCAAACTCCTGTTATAATTAAACAGCAACCCCCTCCTCGGCCATTAACCATGCCCCTGACTGTATCTTCGTCTCTTCCAGTAACAGCAGACAATTTTGAAAACGCTCCAATATTAGTAACAAATCATGTTCTAAAATCATCTGATAAAAAATCGATACATACCTTTGGATCAGATACAGTGTCTATCGTAAAACGAACTCAATCACAACCTTCAACACCGGGTGGTAGATGGTATGAACATAATTATGATAAAAGAATAACACCACTTACTACTAAATATGTTTAACTTAATTATTTTATATATTTAACACTTTTCAAATAAAACAACATTATGAAATAGTGTCAAAACAAAAAAAAAAGTAATGAAGATTGTTATTTGTAAATAAAATAAAACACTAAAATCATCAATCAATGCAAAAAACAACATCCGATATTTTTTTTCAAATCCAATTCAGTTGAAAAAAATACTTTTCTTCTATCAAAACTATCAATAAAAAAAATGAATAAACACGAGAAAACAAAGACACGTATAATAATACTTCATAGACTTTCCCATTCTTATTATCAATAATATAAATGCTCTACCGTTCGTATTTAACAATGAATAAATTGCTTCAAGACCAGTAACTCGTTGGTTTCTTAATGGTTCATAATAATACACATGATCTATTCCTTCAATAGCAACACTGACGGCTTGTTCATGGACAACATAACCTATTCCGACATCTGCTATATCAAAAATAACTGTATTCATTGAACACATTCGATTATCGAATTTACTAGCTCTCGTAAGATGAATATATTCATTACCTCTAACCTTTCCAGTCATAGTTATTTCACTCGTTCGAAAAATAATAACATGAAATTTAGAAACAAAAATATCTCCACATATATTAGTACTTTACTACATAGTATCTAATGATTCTGATTGAATTGAATTTTTTGTTCGTAGAGTCCCTATATCAATCATAATTATTCATGAAACAGCTGTATGAAAATGTAAATAAGTAATTATTTTTTGATGATGAAGAAAACTAATAAATTTATTTACGATAAAATCGACATATTTTGCTTCTCATTTTCTCCTATAACACGAGAAAAATATTGTCTTAATGCAGTTCACACTTCAGTGAATACATAGTATGCTTTTTGCTTATAATAAAAACGAAAACACTCATTTTTTGTCGAAGTCATGTGTTCACACATTTTTATATCTCTGGCCTATCAAAAATATTGTAGTGTAGCTAACATTTTTTTGCTTCATCGATTACTTTTATATTGCAGTGTATCTTATCTACACATAAATATATATATTACAGGTATATACTGGTTGTAGTCACACAATAACGTTACGCCAATGCGATTCTATTTTGTCAAGAAGTGAAACAATAGGTTGTTTAATGATGAATATCTTATTCATACTGGTTTTTTTCTTCGAGTTTACACATCACATCTAAAAAGAACTATTATTCTAATCTCCATTGTTTTTTCATTTTATACGTGATGTTCGCCAATGTTGATCTTTCTTCTGAACAATTATTACAACGATACTTGTTATTATGTGCATTGTTTTAAGATATATGTATTTATTACACAGTAGCAAGCAAAAATCTCCTATAATCTGTCAATTAGACTGGACAATACCTTACAAAAATTATAAAGATTTAGGCAACAGACTGAATATATCTGACAAAAACTATACTCGATGCAAATCAACCTATGATTCCTAAAATAAATTTCATGGTTTAAATACTAGTTGTAACATATTCAAGGATTGTAGCGATAGTGAAAGTAAGTTTTATATTGATTATATGTCATTATTGATACTATTTTTATTTATCTTCAGATATTGAAATGAAATCAACATGCCAATCGCGTAAATCCAGAACATCAGATAACAATCACAAGTAAGATAGTGTTTTCTGTTCAAGTAACTCTTAGTGTAATCTAGTGCATGATGTCACACGTGTTGTTGCTTGATAACATGACTAGTAATTCTACAAACAATGGTTACTATATAAATTGCGAGAGCGAAAAATAATTATTGTTATAAAATATTGTGTAGTGCGTCGCCGCATATTCGAACAATCTATTATCTAATAATCTCATAATTACTCTTATTCGATGATGAATAATTGAACCATAGTAAAGAGTTGAAAATAATAGTGAAATATATGCCACAAACTGTGTCGCTCAATGAACGTAGTGATAAAAAACCAATGTTAAATTATTTACGATACTTGCAATAGAGGTTTGAAATTTGAGATAATTTCCTATGTCTTAGTCATTACTTGTGTATGATTCACACATATCTTCTACATTTCTTATCTGAAGAATCGATGAATACACGCTTGAATTTTCATTATATTAATTCACAAAAATTCTATTTTAAACTTGTATGATAATTAGTTGACTTTTTTTTTTCTCTAATTATTGTATTCATCCTAATAACGTACTAACCATACATCACGCATTTTGTGCAATTAGCCATTTTTATTGAATATTTAATTTTTCTACTCAAATAATTCTTTCCTTTTTGTCTTTCAAGAATTCTCTCTATGATATATCTAGTAAACAAATAATGTTAAAAGAAAAGATATATATTATAGAATAATAAAGAAAAAAAAAAAACATTTTGATACAACACAACAAATAATTCAGAACTTATTTTAAGATTTTCTCTTTGTCTTTTTCTTTTTGTGGTATGCATATATATGTTATGATTTTGATTACCAGTTATTAGCGAATATAAATATACAATAAAAGAAGAAAAGAAAAAATTATTGGAATTTCAAACTAATTAAAGAAGAAGAAGAAGAAAAAAAAACAAAGCAACGGAATGACTATAAGAACGTTTGTCTTCAAACAAGAGCACCCGTATATTAAATGTAAATAAGAAGAAAAAAAAAAGAAAACAAATTAATTCACTTTAATTATCATCATCATCATTATCATCAGTTGTTTTATGTGCTATCATTTGTTCCCATCTTTGTGACAAATCTAATTTTTTTGCTGGACGAATTATTGGAGCATGAGTTTTCTACAAACAAGAAAAGTAATTTCAATTAATACATCAAAAAATAAAACAATTTACTTCATCTTCTGTTCGTTTTAATCGTTCTATTCGATCAAAATAACCTTCGTGATCTTCTTCATGTTCATCTTGTATTACATATTCTGAATCATTATTTACTGTTGGACTAAGAATCGTTGGAATACTAGTTATTGAATGACGTTGTTTTCTAAATAAAATTAACATTTCGAAGCCATAATTTAGTAAGTCTTTCTTTCTTTCTCTTTTTGTTTGTTATTAATATAAGCTCTTACATCGAATAAGATATTTTTAGTTTTTTTTTTTTTTTATAAATATATAGATCAAAAAATCGAACTCAATCTATTTTCATTTTAATCTTTCGATAATTAAATTATAAGATATAATTCTTTATAGAAAGATAGAATATATTTTAATTTGAATATTATAAAAGATTTTACCTTAATTCTTGTTCTCTTTCTTGACATTCACGTTTTTCTAATTCAAGTCGATCAGTTGTTGATAATTTTGAATAATCAATTGATTTATTTGATGAACTAATAATAGGTGCTGTAGGATTTGGACTTGGAAATTTACCTCGTATTGATGAAATAGCTAGAATAAATAATTAAAAAAATATAAAAGTAATATTAACAAAAAAAAACAAATTTCTTACATGAATTATTATTATTATTCATTGGTTTTGTTTTAAAAACTCCATTAGATGGTACAATTATAGGTCCATATGATGATCGTCCACTATCTCTTCTTACTTTTCCTGTTGATAATGTATTAACAGATTGACTTTTTGGTAATGTTGAAACTAATTCTTGATATTTTCTTGGATCCGAATGTTCATCACTTGTATGTTGTATTCGACCTAATTGACGTAATTCAGCTTCTTTAGCACGTATAGCTTCAATTTCACGTTGAATTATATTATTTGTATTTTGTGTTGAAAGCATATTTTGATTTGATGATGAACGATGAATAACATTATTTGTTGAACTTGTACGAATAATAGGTATACCATTATTATTAAAACGATTTAATTCTTGTGAAACAATATTTGAAATTTGTTTACGTTCATCATGTGATGATGATGATGATGATGGTGATGGTGGTGATAATGTATGA